CATGTAAAAATAGTTTAGAAATTCATTATTATAATAATAAAATTCTAGAACATTTTTATAAAATATATATTCTATTTGAAATTAATGATAAAGACTTATGAAAATTTTAAAAGAAATTTTGATATGTTTCTGAAAAAAAGTTCCCAAATGTATAACAGCAAATAAAATTATTCTTTTGAAATGTTTTTTTTAACACAAGACAATTTGAAAGTAACAAAAATATTCTTTAATTCTAAAGTAAAAAAAAAAACATTTTTAATCCGTGTTTTATTTATAGAATTTCTGTTCATATATTTTAATGTTTTGAAACATTAAATAATTTATTTGTATTCTAAATTTTACTTAAGATATTCGGACAAGCCAAATTTAATATAATTCATACTTATGATACATTTAAAATAAATCTGTGTTGGACATATTTATCAAAAAATTTATCCCACTAATTTAGCTCACTAAAATTTATATCCATGAAAATTAATCTAAGAAAACTACATAAATTTAGTCCACTAACTCAAAAACTACATACACTCAAAAATTTGTGAGAAAACTAATTAAATTTTTATTGTAGCTAGCTCACTAAAACATATATCCACGAAAATTAATCACACAAAACTACTAAAATTTATCAGATTTTCGTTTTCGCATTTAAAAATAGTTTAGAAATTGAATATTGTAATAATAAAATTCTAGAACATTTTTATAAAATATATCTTCTGTTTGAAATTAATGATAAAGACTTACAAATTTTTAAAAGAAATTTTGATATGTTTTATGAAAAAAAAGTTTCCAAATCTATAACAACAAATATAATTATTCTTTTGAATTTTTTTTTAACACAACACAATTTAAAAGTAACAAAAACATTTTTAATCGGTGTTTCATTTATAGAGTTTATGTTTATATATTTTAATGTTTTAAAACATTAAATAATTTTTTGTATTCTAAATTTTACTTAAGATATTCGGAAAAGCCAAATGTAACATAATTTATATTTATGATAAACTTAAAATAAATATGTGTTGGACATATTTATTTATCAAATAAGTACTCTTTAAATTGTTCTAAATCGTTTCTATTTCTATAGTAAACTTAATATTTTATATATAAAGTTATATGCAAATAATAAAATATCAACATAAATGTTTTTTACAATTTATATAAAATAAAAAAGTAATGATTAATCTAATTGTCCAAATTCACTATTGAATTTAACAAAAAGCAATATTATTCATAGTTATTCACGTTGAACAAATTTTTGTTTGATATTCACAAATCGAATAATTCATACGGGTTTATCCAAATGAATATTGAACATAATTGATCACTATATGTTGTGTTTTGTTTTGTCAATTTTCAAGCTTTAAAAGAATTTACACACACAATATTAGTAGTTTGGTGCAATGCGTTAACGACAAGGTCGACACTACAACATCATTAGAAATAGAGAAATTTTTAGAAACGACAAAAATTTACTTGGTTATTACGATATAAAATTGGATCCAGTTACCAATTCAATTGTTTTTTTGTTAATTAAATTGTAAATGAACTTATTGTCAATGTTATTAATAAAATTAGAATTTGTGCCACCATACAAAAAAGAAAAAAATATTATTTTATATAAAAAGTTGAACTTAAATTCAAATTAAATATCATTAACAATTTTTAACCATGAATTAATACTTTTTTAATTTATTTGATTTCTAGTTAAATCACCTAGTTACTATTATTAAGGAAGTCTAACAAATCCTCAGGAATAATTTTTACTCCATGGACATAGAGGATCGAAGGAGGCTGGTTCCAATTTCATACTAATCATACCTCTCCCTTTGGTTTGTTTTTTTTTTCCACTTCTCTAGTCACCAGCTTCCACTGATTACACATGTGTAAGCTCTTCTTCACTATTAGTCTTTTTGATGTTGTTGGTGAGTGATTCCCACATGCGTGTGGTTTAGATCTCATGTGATTCTTCTTCGTTTCGATTTATCTTCATCTTAGTTTACAAAGTTTATGTTACTTGGTTTATTTAGGCTTAGGTGACCGTTTCTAATTTGAGCCTAGGTGATACTTTTAATTTGAGAAGTTTATGGCCCTTATTATTATCTAAATGGTATCCATGTAAGAGGTTATTAGAAAAACGATAACTAAAAGATTATTCCAAAAAAAAAAAAATAATACACAAAAATGAACATCATGAAAATCCTTCAACAATTACACAAACTTTGAAAAAATCATGATGGACAAGTGCCCTTCCAAAATCTATCTACCTATGTCCCTAACTCCAAGGGAAAAATAGATCGTCAGTCCTAAATTTTAAGATATTAAGTTATTGAAAAAATGTTTTAAAATTGGTCGTCAATGGAAGACAACCGAGAACCCAAACTAGAAAAGTGCCACTTCTCCGATCTACCACAACATAGGAAAAAACCACATATCTCAAATCGAGCTAATGCCCGGAACCATCATAAAGAGAACATAAGTCATGGTTGGATCTTCCTATGAGTAACAATTCCGTCAATCCCAACGAGAACGACTCTGGCAACACCACCAATGACGAGTGAACTGAACCACATCTACAAAAAAATCCTAAAGATTTCAAAGGACTAGTAACCAGATGGAAAAAGAGACAAGGCGATAAGAAAATCCGGCGACCAAAGAGAGAGTTCATGACGAAATGGTTTTGACGATTAAGATGACCTCTCATTTGGAAGAGCAACGATTGAGTTTTAGTACTCGTTCATCATATTCTTGTGTTAGTACTCTCATCCTAAAATAAAGTTAAAAGTAACATGTATATAAAAAAATTATTTACAGAAATTGACGAGAATATGAATGTCTAGTCTTGTTATTTTTATGTCATATGATATTATTGATAAAATAATCGAAAGTAAAATACATAAGTCCTAAACCATTAGGCGACGAACAACTAGATGTCCCCAAAGCCAAAAAGCCAACAGAGTATGAAATGTCGCCAGAACCAACAACCCAAAAGAGGAAAACATTAAAACTACCGAAGACGAAAAAACTAAGCTAAAACGTTAGACAATACAAACAAAAATTAGCCGAAATAGAAATTTCAAAGACGAGGAAACACACTTTGTCAAGAAAAGCGTGAAGACTGGATACAAAAGAAGAGTCAAAAGATTTCAAATGACCGATACAAGAAAAAGTCCAAGAACTCAACTCAAAGTAACCAAACCAAACACCTAAAAGATGGGAAATGCTAACTGATTTGAAATTTGCTTTTGCTGGCAATATCCCAAACATTAAACTCCACACGTAACCTTCAAAAAGTTAAAAGACCAAACCAAAGGGTAGGCGAATCGTGAAACCGATAATTAGTGCTATGACGCCGCAATGCCAAGAAATCCGAAGACTTGTATAAATGGCACACGCCTCAACACAATGACCTTAACAAATGACCTGAACCGAAACTAACACTAGAAAGCCTAGAAGGAAGGCAAAAGAAATCAACAAAAGATGCAAACTACACATATAGCATATCAGAGCCTTCAAGGATCACGACCAATGAGGATAATAGCAATCAAACATGACCTTGAAAAATAACTGAGGTCGCGAGAAGGAGAAAATAACCACTAGTCCAAATCTGTAGAGTTAGGAGGCTCACTCCTCCGTTAGTTTATAGAACCGACACCACGAGACCACATACGCCCTAAACCCCAACGAGATCTCTACACTACAAAGCTTGCCATGTATGCTTGAGACCAGTCGAACAGTCCAAAAAGCTTAGATCCGAGTGGAGAAGAAGAGAAAATCGGAACCAGCCGAACCGAGCAAAACTCACCCAATGACAATGACAGTCAACCTTGAGCTTCACCCAAGACCTAGATGGGCATGAACTCCCAACTGCTCTAAATACGGAACCCAAATCTAAAACCAAACCCATCATGAAGAACCTCTGAATCAACTTAGAAACTATCAACGACATAAAAAAAGCATTGAGATTAAGACACATGGGTTCCGGCACCGGTGCTAAGGAAGCCGCCGGATCCAAGCAAACGGCGATGAGAAGATCTGGCGGAGTGGCTTCTACTTGGGAGAGAAACTACAGGCGGTTTACCTAGTCTTGTTAACTTTGTAAAATTTCTCCACAATTTATATCCCACTAATTGCAACAGTAGTCATAACCTGAGCCAAATTTTATTTTTCTTTTTTGGTCGATCCCTGTCAATTAAAATAGACGTAAACCGGAGTTAAAGTTTCCCATATTAAACAAGTGCCCGTGCAGTCGTGTCGCTGTAAATGGCATTTCGTAGGGTTTTACTCTCTCACCTCCGCCGGTCGCGCCACACTTGTTCCTCCCTCTCTCCTCACCATGTCTCCGCTCCGGAACGGCCCTCGATCCCGCTCGGCCTTTTCCAATCCCAATCGTTTTCCACTCCCACGGACCTCGAATCGGAGCTCACTCGACTCAGAGACGATTCGATCGCTGGTGGTCATGGATTAGGGTTTCAAGATTTTGGACAAGAAATGATCGGAGCTGGCGCGACGAACCATGACCTGTTGACCCGACATGTAATCTCGTTGCTTGATTCATATCATGACCTCACTGGATTGCCATGGTAAAACAAAGTTTCTCTTTTTCCCGATTCGGTTTCTATCGATCTCTCCTCTCCAATTCGTGGCGCTTTCACCTCCTAGTTCATAGTTTGTATCTGAGGGTTTTGTTAATTTGCCTCAGATGACTTGCCAGGTGGGTCGTTATTGCTTCGTCTACTGTGGCTTTTAGAATGTCACTGCTTCCTGTACTCATTTTGCAGCGCAAGCAAACTAAAAGGATTTCACACTTCTTACCTCAGTGTGAGCTTTTTCTCCTCCTGACTGTGTCTTTTCACTTTATAATGATCAGATGTTAATAATGTGATAGTGGTTTTCTAGTACCGCCTTTCTGGCCACCAAAGGGTTCAGGAAGGAATCTTGTTGAGCAATTCAAGCTGTTCCGGAAAGAAAGAAAAGCTCTCGGATGCCCTTCATTTTTGTGGATTCCTTCTTATTTCGCCATCCAGGTGATGCTTCATCTCTCTCCTTGTGTGGTATTAGAAGGAATCTGATATTCCATGCCGCTCATTTTCTTGCAGAAGTTTGGAAATTGTTTACTTTTCATAACATATTTTGCAGCCCTTTTAACTCCTACGTGAGTGAATCTAGTTCATAATTGTGGAAGTTAGATGGCTGGTTTTGTAATATTAGTGCGTCTTTTAGTTATTACTACTCATGTAATAACACTCTGAATGAGTATAAACATATCAAATATGCGTAGCATGATATATAGTTCTTTGAGTGGCAAGAAGTTATAGGCTTACTCCCCACTCTTCTTTTTGCAGATTTCATGTTTTTTCTTGTGGATCAGTAGCATTAGAAGAATGTCACTTGATCATCATCCTGGATTTGATACTGTAAGTCGCCAGTATACTCTGGGATCACTGATAAACATATTTTGATATTGTTTATCTTAGGAC